TAAAGAGAAGAGGTCTTGGTGAGTAACCATCTTGCATACAAAGCACATAATAAGAAAAGAAAAACTAAACAATAAAATAGTGGTACCAACAAAACATCTCTGACAGTAAACAGAAATCCTATCTTGGGATTTTATGATACAGCAGGTGTATTTTTCTTGTGATCATGAAATTACTTTTTATTTTACGTATTCGATTGGAATTATTCTGTGATTATGGCCACTCCGGCCTTCCGTACTTCAGACAGCGGATGACATAAAGAGACGCATTGACCCGCACCAACATCATCTCCATTATCAGAGAAGTTAGATGTACTACCACTGAGGGAACAAAGCTTTCACCGAAACACACATCTTACACAGATAGCTGAACGTGTATGTACAAAGTGGGTTTTAGAGTGGATGTTCTTTTTCTCAATGTTAATGCCTGTTCGATTGGAAGAGATTGTAGGAAATGTTTTACTTACGTCACTGACAACCTTTATAGGGTCTGGTGTCGGCGCTATGATTGCTCTGAAAAGCATGCAATTACTCTTAGATGTTGTCATATTCATATTGCTTTAATTAAGGTTTGCCTATAATCAGTCTATAAAAGCATTTGTTTGACAAGTAGGAGTTTTGTACATGCTGCTTTAAGGTCAGACAATGATGCCATACAAACACAAGCAATCAGTGGCTCAAAGGGAGAGATAGAACATTTAAACTGTGGCTAGAACTCTTCAGGTTTTAATTTTAAAAACAATTCTACCTCCAAGATAGGATTCTACCTCAAAGGGAAATGAGATTTCTATGTTTAGTTACATTCTGCTGATTATTCTACCCAACGTGTTAATGACATCTGCATTTAGCGTGAACCTAGCAGCACAAAGACAAGGAAAATCTAATAACCTATAACTCACTAGGATAATAGGAATAACCTTGGAGGGCGCAATTCAGGGAATGATCACATTTCTCCAAGATGCAATTGGAGCTATAGATGGACATGACTGGTTTAAAGGACAGCAGCCAGTACTGGATGTAGAATTGGGGGAAGCGGGATCTCTTCTACGAGGTTGAACTGCCATGTTTCTATAGTAGCTCAGAACGGACAAACCAAACACTGGCTCCAGACAGGGCCTTCTCTTACGGTAGGGTGAACGCGAGGGCATTATAATCAGCAACTACACCGCTCAATGCCACTAAATCCTACACTCTGGACCTTTTAAAGGTTCATTTTCGTTTGCTAAGAGATGATTTTTTATCAGAAGTTAATCAAATAGTCATATTATAAAATAATTTCAGATCTGGGTGTAATACTGATGACTATAGTATCAGTATTTTTGAACACAATTATGGTTATGATATAATATCTGACGAAATAATTGACCATGAGAGTTAAGTACCTACTATTAAGTACTTAGTGAGAATCAGTATCTGACATTTTCTGTTTGCTTTTTTTGATGACACAACACACATTTCATTAGAGCAGTCATAAAGAAACCAACCACTTTAGGTGTGTGTTTACTGTAGGCAATTTGACAAGCTAAAATCACTATCATCATCATAATTATGTGTAGCTTTAACAGGTGATTTAATGGCGAGCTCATCTTGACATTTTGCGCAGTGTACTGTGTATGGAATATGCAGAGTGCTCTGGGTGACACTTTCTATATTTTCTACAACATTCAAAAAACTCATAATATGAATATCTGATCTTACATCTATGTGTAGCTGTGGACCTGACTTGTTTGTCATATTGTATAAAACTAGTATATCCACTGCAAACCAAAAGGGACACCTTTCCTTATATCCAGCCTGCTGCTTCACAACGAATGGTGTTTACAGGTAGGCCAGTGTGTTACTGAGAGACCTCATCAACAAGAATAAGAAACAACAGGTAGCAGGATGAAGTCATACAGTGTCATTGAGAGGCTGTACAGCTGTTTACTACACACTGTAAAGACATGAGCACATAAAGATTTCTAATTTAGCTTAAAAATATCTATTTAAACATCTAATTAAGAGTTATTTCTTTGATTTAACTCCAAAAGGGGGTTTTAATGCATTGACTAAAAAGCATGTTCATATCACCCACAGGTCATTTTTATTTTCTAATCTGTGCCGGCTGATTAATCATTAGTCCAATATGAGCCTGTGGGTTGAAAGCTCAACTAACACATTGTGTCGGCAGCAGCAGTGTAGCCTTAATTGCTCCAAAAATCCTTTTCATTTAAACAGCTCTCCCGCGTGGCATTGATTAGCTCGTATGAGTCAAGGTAAAAGCAGCATTCCTTGTATTCTGTGCAGGGAGTTGCATAATCATTATTTATTCTAAATCAATACGTTAACAGCCAGACAAAGAGAGAGCAGCATTTGTGGTGCTCCATTCCTCTAATGCGTTCAGATATAAAGTAAGTGCAGGTTATTCAGGAGATTTTAGTGAAACTCAGTTATCTTGATTTCAAGAGGAAAACCTATTCATTGCTGTTTTTCCATTCAGCATAGACACCGATCCACAATTCATTCTCCGCATATCATATGATACGCTTGTCCAAACAGTTTTGGTGGAAGAATCTGTGAGATAAACACAATATATGGGACCTTACCAGTAAAGTAAGAGTGCCCTCTTCAGACTGTGACGCAACACTGCAGTTCTGTTTAACTATAAAGTAAAACTGACCTTGCACACATGAAGCATTATGTGACTTTAACATGTCAGGGCACCTTTTAAATTATTATCTACACAAACAACTGTTTTACTAGATACAAAGACACAAAAGTTATCTGACACATGTTCAATGCTCTTGGGTGTGCCGGCAATGTGCAACACCACTAAAGGTCCTTTAACTTATGTTTGTGTGCAAAGGATGATGAAGGTTGGGTCAAATATACTCAGAACACAAGAGCTGGTTTATTGCATGTATTTATTGTCCAGGTACCTTTAAATGGTAACCATGCTAGTTGGTGAACAGAAACAGGTCCAGGGTACTAAATGTGCTGGGCTGCTGGTTTATGACAATTTCAGTTGTACATATTTACATAGACAAGATGGAATAGTGACAAACATTTAAAAAAAAAAATAAAAAATACAAAGCATGTCCCTGGTATTTATGTCCCCACATCTGTCTGAAAGTCACACTGCAGACATCATTAGCATAGTAATAAAGGCACTTACTATATACATTTCATTGAGCTTAAATAAGGGAAGTTTAATTTGAGGGCTTTCACAGTAAGAATCATAACAGATTTGATACTCTATATTTCAAAAGAAATAAACAATGCAAATCAAGATAACACATATCGTATTTAACTTGATCATGAACTCAACATGTATAATTTAACATACAAAGGATCACCGGAGGCAAACACACTAAATAAAGTTAATCTGATTTAAGTTAGGAGACTAAAAAAAGGCAGCACAAAAACAAAACACAACAGCATCTCCAAACGGAGATATTCCTTACACTGAGTTTTTATGCAACGACACATACGATACAGCACTCAGGTTTCAAGGTCCACTCGTCTTTCTGCCTATTATTCCATAACAAAAGAAAGGCTTTTATTATAGCACATTCCTCACTGTGGACCCCAGCACAATGATGAGGTAAAGAAAACAAGGTGGCCTTAAATTTTAGTGTCACAGCTTGTCCAGCTGACTGCCTTGATTTTTAGTTTCAGTTTGTGCTATTCCAGTGCAAAAGTGTCATTAACGTTGCCAAACAGAGGGAAAAATCAAACGGTTGAGACATTCTTTCACTGTAGCAATAATATCACGATCTAAACGCCCTGCAAGCTTCATGAAGTGTTACATCTAAATGTCTGATGTACCAGAAAACTGCCATCGTATACGCTAAAATAATCATTCTGATATATAACACGGATACCAAGAAATAAGTGCTGCCACAAGATGAAGAGGAATATCAATGTGAAAGGGTAGTTCAAGAGCATGTCTACAGTACCTACCATCTACTTTTTCTCTTTGGTGTAAAGTGATCTATCCAAAGTAGATCATTTGCACTAAACAATTCGTTCCTGCTAGGCACGAGATGTAGCTGTGATAAGCTAGAGAAGGCTACAGATTAGATATCGGCTCTTAGCGCAGCCCCTTCTTAACTGATCGATCAACTAAGCAGTGATTCAAAGTTAAAGATGGTCTTGGGGATCACAGAAATGGACATTTATGGACACCGAACACGCCTCTACACTAACTTAAAAAGATACAGCACTTACAGTATGTTTAAATATGCCTTTATGTGATCTTCACTGCACAATGCTGTTGATAGTATTCTGATGTCATTCACTGGCCTTCTCATTCAAATGCTGTGATATGACCTCAGATGAACAGGTTCATGGGCCTCTCTGCACTGCGGGCATGAACTCGAGTGTGCAGATCTACAGGTAGAGAAGCTGCTCTGTTGTTTCTTTAACAACACTAACCTCTAATGCTGAAGGCAGAGCTTGAGTTTAGAAAATGAACAGTGTAATTCAGTGTTAAAATGGAAATAATTGAAATATAATTGGAAAACTGGCCTCCCAAGAGTAATTGTTATCCAAATATAATTGGCAGGGACTATTTAAAAATTAAAAAAAGGTCAAATTACTCATCCACAATCAAGATTAATCATCAACATAACAAAACCTTTATAGAAGTGCCATTGACCTCAACCCAAATTAAATTTCAGCCTGATTAATAAAATTAAGAGACATTTATTCAAACAGGCTTTTAACAGACTGTTCTTATATGTAGCCTCTAATCATTTCAGACATTTCTCTAATGTTACTTATTTACTGAGTTAAACGCCTAATATCGTTTTTGGATTAGGGCAACAAAATTATAAATCAACTATGCACTAGGTATTCACCTCACAGATTTCCGCCAAAACATATCTTTTTTGTTATACCGTACAGGTATTATCTGCACGTCTACTGTGTTTCATTCAGGCAAGTGTTTGATAACTGGGTTGTTAAACACAACGCAACTCGCGAGTACCGCAAAGACCTGTACATTAACCATGAGGCATCAGCTCCATTAATATGGACTTACGAACTAACATGGACCAGCAAAATAAAATAACCTGTACAATATGCAGTACTACAACCCCAAAAAATAGCTCTGCAACAAATAATAACTTAGTATGTTCAATTTATGTTGAGACTGTGTCAGAGAGGAACCGCAAAATACCTTTTATAGTAACTTTTCAAGGCTGAATTGTGGTGTACTGGATTGCATTAGTATTTCTTATATGTTGTATTTTGAATCCATTACAACAACACAGTTTTAGTCTAAAAAGTTATCATAAATGATCACAATCTTCTTAAAGAGTACTATTGTAAGACACTGGGCTGTTGTACTGGATTGCAGTAGACTGTACAGGGATTTCCATCTTTCTGGTCACTAATATATGGTGCTCTTTCGTGTTGCAGTCTATGTTGGGACATAGTCAGTGGTATATTATACAATGAAAGTGCAGCCTGACTGAATGCCACAAAATAAAGTACTGGTGAGTATAGTATTAAAAGCACTAAGACAAGCACAAACATTTGAGTCCACAGGGCTCTTACAATGAATGAGGAACAACCAAAAGCCCTATTAAGTATTTTGATCGTCTTCAACAGGGGCAACACTCCTGCTTCAATAGGAGCGAAAGTGAGCATCTTAAATATTTAAATAGATATAAAATTTTGTTATCTTTTAACACAAACTGTACACATCTGGTACCAATACATATAAAAATTACAAGTGTGGTTACTTTAGAAAGGACACCCTCTGATACATCATATCAAAAATATGTAGCTTTAGTAGCACTTTTGTTCTTCATTTATCTAGTAAAGTTTACAAAGCTACATTACACTCCAAAGTGAATGAGGTTTTTCTTCTAGTTCTTCCAACGTCACTGCAGTGGTGCTATCGAGCCTCAAAAGTCACAAGTCATCTGCTGTGACCACTGCTTTGCTCTTCAACTCTTAAATCCACTTCTACTGTATTCGCTTTCTTCTCTCTCCTTCGGTCTCAAGCCTGAAACACTTCCCCTTCGCCATCCAATCGCTCTTTCGGGCCTATTACGTGCTGGCTTTTCGGCTCCTTCCTCTTCAACATGCACACTTCAATCAATTTTTTCGACTTTCCCGATAATCTTCTCCTCAAAAATGGGCAAGATAGCGTCATCTTCACGTACCTCTTCAAACACCACCCCACAGTCAAACTCGTCGCTTACCTTCTTGAAATAATACCTAAAAAAGGGAGGGAACAAAGTTAACTTCTGCAGGTTAAAAACTGTGACCTTTACCCACATTGTGCCCAGCAGGCAACACCTTGATTTAATAATCACTTAGCACCCTCATCAGGCAAATGGGTATTTAATTCTTAATCAGAAATAACAGACACAGCTGGAACTACAGACCCACCAACACTCCTGTGTGATTTTCAAAGGTATTTGAAGGTTTTAAGTAAAGCCAAATCTATAATAGCTTTCAAACATTCTATGTAACTGGTTTGGATGAACTATAAACCCTCCCTGACAACTACACTCCAAATGATGCTATATTTGGGTGTCTCAAAGCAAGTCGTGTTGTAGATAATGCAATCTTAATGCAATCCTTCTTGCTGATAATTAAAGCATAAATTCTGAGCTTAGCTGTGTTACATCTCTTGAACGACATGTGGAAAGCAAATAACAGCATAAATCTCACCTGTAATTTCCTTTTTTTGTTAGCAGTTCTTTGAACTGGCCCAGTGTGACGACCCTCCCTTTGACAGACGTCCTGTACGGTATCAGTTCCTCACAGAAGTAATACGCCACAGTAGTGTTTTCACATGGCTGCTTTTTAGTGGCTTTATGTCTGCAGATGGAAAAGACAAAAAACTATTTAGAAAACTTGAAGCTTTTCCATTATGAACATGCTCATATGGACTAGAGTCTGCTAAGGCTAAGGGGGATGACAGTTACAAACATGCTCATATTCATAAGCAACTGAATAACTGGGGAAACAAGGACCATAACGTAAAAATCTCAAAATAAACAATACTTTACAATAAAAAATAAAATAAAAAAAGATGAAAGAATAAAATAGAAGAACCTAGGATGAGTTGAGGGCTGATGTCATTCTATACTTTGCATTTTAAAAGGTAGAACTCTCTAATCAATATGTGCAATTACAGGGAGCGAGTGAAGAGAGAAACAATATGGGCCAACATCCTCTTGTTTTCTGGTTCACATGCTGACTGCCTACTAAGTTTCGAGCAAGATGGAAATGTCACTTTCATATTAGACCAGACCAGTGATCATAAAGCTTTTCTTTCTATAATCAGTTCAGGATGAAACGACGCTGAGGTTATCTAAGGATAGCTTATGTAGATAGAAAAACACAACATGGCAAACAAGGAAAATGACGAGCACTGTCTCAACAATATGTATAGGCGCAAAGTACACAAATGAACTGAAATGGAGCTAGAAACAAAACAGATACTCTAGTAGATAGATTTTGCTGTTTTCTATTTATACCAGATACAGAAATGACAGCGAGGAACCTCAGCAAATTCTGATAAACCCATAAACGTCTGCAGTATTTTGGGTCAACTTAACCTTTAAGATGCTTTCAGCTGGCCATAGCTCTGCTGATGAACATTAATTATCAGTCAGCTCACCAGCAGTTTATGTAACTGAGTATATTCTAGTATTCATAACTTCCACTGAGTGGGAGAGGCCCTGAGATGATGATCTTACCAGCAGCCTTTGGGTGCGCCATACGTCACATGTCGAAAGATGTCAAATGTGTTTAGCCAGCCATACCTCTTTTCTACCAACTTCTACAAGCACATAACTGCATCTGTTTTTGTCCCTGGAAAGTGATGGTCACTACAAGTCTTAGATATAAATGTATTTTTCTCAACTTAAACAGCAGTGTAGTAGTTAACACAATCTCTTCAGGCCAATATTCAGAGTTTTAAGAGCAATATTCAGTGCAGATTCTCTAATTTGGCATGGGCCAGTTTTACATCAGCCCAAAAAGCAGCAGAACATTTTCATGACAGGATATTATGATAGAAAAAGCTCATGGAGACAAATAAGGTACTTTTAAAACCTTCCCTTAGCGCCCAATTGCTGCAATTTACGTCAAAAATAGCACTCCTTATCCGAATCATAACTCTAAAATAATCTGCACATGCATATGCATAACACACATATTTTTAGATTCAGTAATTTTACCAAATTCCAATCTTTGAGCTAACCTTCAGACATTTCCAAGCTTGGACATTAGAGGTAATGTAACCTTCAATCGGTTGTGATCCAAGTACACACCACGTCCTGAACCCCAGTCCTCACAGGTCTGACCGGAGGCTTCACCCTCTGGCTGTAACACGTAATCTGCCTTTCATCTGCCTCTAACACTGTTCCCCTATTCCCCTCCATCTGTTAAGTACCCTTCTGAGAGGACAGTCAAACATCAAACAGAAACATGTTTCTGACAAAACATCAAAAAGCCAACCCTCTCTCTAATACTTCTGCCTGCACTGGAACACAGAAAACATACACTTCTACTTCCTCTTTGAAGCTTTTTCTGGAAATCCTCATTACTTATGGCACGATGGAGAAAGAATACATTCCATACCATGGACACTGAAAATAGTCTTTTCTCACTGGTTGCCAAGTGTCCGTTAACCCCGAAAAAGTAGTCCGAAAATAACGGACTACTTAACATTAAGCCATTCTTTGCCTCCATCTTGTCTATTATTTTCTTTTTTTAGAGATTTTATTGTTGTTTGCTGTTGTTTACTAAATACCCTCCACAGGCTTAACATGCAGTGTAACAGCTACTATCTAATGAGGAGTATGGGGATGCTGATTGAGTCTTTCCCCCACATGAATGAAAACCAGACAAGATACCACATTAAAACAAATTGGGGGACAGAGTGTGGGACGCCACATAAGGACATTACAAATACAGCACACAGGAGAGAATTAGGCAAGGAAATTGCTCATGACTGACGTCTAAATGTTTCTTTTAGTAGCAATACAAAAACACACAGTACTGGGTAACTAAGCTGTCAGTAATGAGAATGGGAAGTGAAGTGGGTTTGCCGTGACCTATGGGGATATTTGGAGATAGCGGGAAGAGTTACTGGTAGGACACAGCAGACATACTCGGGCTCGGAGAGCTCGCTGTCAGAAACGGCAGGCACCACGTTGAGTGGAGGGAACAGTGCAGGCCTGACTGCGGTGCGACCCCTCTGGATCACCTCCATCACATACCTGAGGGACCGAACAACCCCAGTAGTTAGACACAGACTGGCCCTAAGGAGCACACAGGCTACAGAACAAAAGGGTAACTGTTTCATTTTGACTAAAGAAAAAGCATAAATCCGGCTTCCCCTGTGGATCAAGTTACATAGATTCTGTTGAAAAATGGCACTGATTAACTGGACACCGTAGAAATGGGACATTACCACTTACCTTTGCTTGGGTTGTAAAGTTCCAGACTTAATCTTCTCCTCCTCAAGCCGCCGGCGCACCTCCTCCAGCTGAATAAGGGGGCTGGGTGCTGGGTTGGGGGGCATAGTGGGATCCTGGATGAAAGGGTGAGATGGCTGCACATTGTTCCGCAGTTGGGTGCTGACGCACGGGTGCACTGACCCCGATCGCTCCGCCGAGCTGAGACGGGATCCCTCATGGCCCATGGCCCTCTTAGACCCAGTGGTACTCCTAAAATGTTAAATCATGACAGAGCAAGAGTATTCAAAAGTTTACATTAGGTTTAGTTTGCTTTCTCTAACAGTACTAGATCATTCTCTCATGCAGCTGTGTAGTAAAGTAAAGTAGGAGTTTGAGCTTGCAAGATAATTCAAAAATTAATCTTGTCAGGCTTCAAGCTATGTGCTTGTACCCCAACCACTTTTGATAACAACTGACAGCTATGGCATGAGTAATGGGGGTGGTTTAATGCTAGGTGTGTCTGACAAAGTGTGTGAGAAATGACTGCTCAAAAATAAGAACCAGATCAAGAACAAAACACAACAACAACACAGATGGGGCTGGAGTGCATTTCTGTGCACAGGATATTCTTTAACTGTAAAGATAAAAAAAAAAATTATGCTTGCACACATCACTGACCCATATGGGCTCCTCTTATGTTGAACCATTTCTTTCTGTCCTTCCATCAGCCACAAAAGGATCTTCTGGTTTTTCTCTATCTCCTCCGCAGGCCCTGGCATGTCATAAGGCCGCACTTCGTCACCTTTCTTGAATGCTCTCTTACATTGGGTGCCACCTTTGCTACTGTATAATGGAAGAAAACAACTGGTGAGTAGAAAAGCAAAAAGTATTTTGGTTGAAATATTGAGAAAAAGTAAACTACTGCTTGAGTGTGGTGCGTACCTATACCCTGTATGCTCCACAGGGTGGGATCCCATGCCATCTGCATAGCTGCGAGACTTTGATCCATAATGACTCGTCTCCATGTTCCAGGGAAAGTTGCCATGCACACGCATGGCTGCCTCAGCCTCCACCTGCTCTTTTGGCTTCCCAACGTTTGTGTGGTGGACGTGGTGCACGTGTTTGTGGTGGTACAGGTGGCTGCTCTCTCCCTTGACACCATGCCTGGATGGATGTCTACCCTGGCTCAAGGACACCAGAGCTCCAAGTCCCATCCCTTTGCCCCCTGGGAAACAGTCTGGTGAGCGTGACTTGGGAGAGTGACGGCCTGTACCTGGTGACTGGCAGCCGGGAGTCTTCATGACCCGCTGGACGTGGTCGTCCAGGATACTCTCAGGGTTCTCCTCATGAGCGTCTCTCATTAAAGGACCGCTGTAGGTGATGTCAGCATAGCGGGGGTTGTAATTCTGTGGATAAGCACCAGGGGGGACCCTGTGACTGGGTAATGCTGTGGTTGTGGACATGACTTCATCACCTTCCTCTTCCTTTAGAACAAAGATACACACACAAAACAAAACATAATTTAGAGAAAGAATCTGGAATAAATATCTGGAATATAAATTGAGGTTATAGGGATAAGTTGTGAATATCTGAGGCATATTACATCAAACACTCGTAAATCATATAAACCATATAAAATATATCTATGTGCATTTTATTCTTTTAACAGCTTATTTCTAAACACATCTGACACAACAGAGGATTTTTTCCATAAGGCTGCATAATGTTTACTTATTTCAACCTGCAGATGGCAGATTTTCACCATATGCTACATGTGTCTTCTCATTCTTACTGCAGAGGTGGAGACACACCAAGGATCACGGAGTATCATATTAGGGGGGTACTCTGCATGCACACAGCACATTTGTGTTGTTTCATGTAATGTGCAGCCGACAGAGTTTCAGCTCCGAGATAAAATAACGCTCTGACAGAATGTGCTCCAGGGGGAATTGATGGGGTGTGGTACTGCAGGCATTCATAATAGGTTTTGATAAGCAAGCAGGGAGCGAGTGTAAGATATACAGTGATAAAATAAGTGGATAAAAGAAATGCAGTCATCTAAAACTTGATGATGGTCAAGTTGTAACACCATAATTGCTACAGAAATGACAAATAAATGAAATTCTAAACCCAATATTTTCAGCTACACAGCTGACCGGTAGTTTGTTGTATGACCAAATATTTCAGTTTGAATTTTTTAAAAGAAACATCATCAGAAATAGTTTTCAATGCAGTTGGTGCAGTGAGCACCACTGACCTTTTTTCTGTTGTGCGTCTTGTATAAAGTTGGAAACACTTTGGCAGAGAGAGAAGCGAGAGGAGAGAACAAACGAATATAGTGGAAAGACAACAGTGGGTAAGAGTTTCACTTTTATCTTTTAGTCGGCAAGCCAAACCTTTCATGTCGGATACGTTAATAATTTAATAAACCTTCACTTGTCACATGCCAAACCAACAGAGTTTGCTGTTGCCCTGTGTTCACCATCCATTTGCTAAAACCGTATCAGAGGGTGAAGGGTTTTTCATCCTGCTCCTTCATAAACTTCCCTGTGCCCACTGCTTTCTTAGATTCAGCAATATTGCGAAAGATGCCGTATGCAGCCAAATATTTTTGGCAGGTTTTTAATAATTGATGTGTCTTCATATCTCTGCACCAGATCCAGAAATCTGTTAGAAAAGCCCACTGGAAGTTATTCATGGAACTACAACATCTTCATTTGAGCAACTTTTCCACACTTGAGAATAAAAGTCCTTGACAAATAACAGAAGATATTTGTGATTCTACAGGTTAGCTTCGCTGGTGGATGGGGATAACAGTCTAAAGTAGCTAATTTCTACAACATCATGCCTCTCCTTACGAGGACTAACAGCGTACATAGTTTCATGCTTATCTTTTTAAAACCCAAGTAAAAATACAATTCAGACAAGAGATGATCATCGTGTTCACATGAGTCTTTCTTTATGTGAACGGTATTCTGCTACTCTTGTTTTTGTGAAAAATACTCTGCATACCTTGGCCACAAGGTCTATTGTTCCAAACAATTCCTGAAGTGAAGCCATATTTTCATTCTTAACCAGCTGTGTGACAGAGCTGTGGCAATAAGTCCTCATAAAATCATGTTGTTTTTCCTCGCAGCAATAAAATGACGCATACATTTTTAACCAGATGGTACATTTTTGAGTCTCATTTCATGCTACAGAAAGTCTTCATGCATTATAATATATTTTTAATACCTCTGATATTATGGTTAAAAGTTCACATTTCTTTTTCTAGATGTACACAGTATATCACTTGACGAAGGCAGTCATTTCATGCTCGCCTCCAGGTTTAATAAAGCAAACCTTGAGCCGTGTGATGGCAGCTTCTCTCCTTTCAGGGCCAAACCACATAAATTGTCTGCCTTGAGACTTAATACTTGGCTTTGGGTACTGAGGGAGATTTCATTTGTGGTAGCAGCAATTATTTCATCACCGTTCAAGTGACATCAAACAGGCGGCACACTGTTCCAGGCTTACAAATGGCCGAGTGTGCAGGTGCTCCATCTGATTCATCATGTTTTTTTATTCAGCGTTCAAATGGCTGGCCTCATTAATTTCATTAAGGCCAGACGGATTTAAGTCATCTTTGTTGGTGAAAAACTTTAAGCCCACCGGCCAGACGCACATCTTGCTTTCTGGCTCAGGAATGGGCTTTGGTGGAATTACTGATACTGCTCAATATTCAGTCTGCTTTTCAATACGCTATCTATGATCCTCATTTATTTAATCATTCTTTTATTAAAGTGAATCAAAGTTATTCAAGTGAAAAACAAGTCATTTGAAATCAAGATTTGTAGCATCAATTAAAATGAGATCCTCACAGCTGAAACCTTTGTTTGTATATTTTGTCTTTTGAAAGTCTGAGAACACAAAATAAATATCAGGATTTAAATTTGAGCAATAAAAATGTTTCAATATAATACAATCTGCTCTAGAACTAAGTTTATTACTCAGACAGTGAATTGATTGGGAATCTTTTCAAACATTCTCTGATTCCAGTTTGTCAAATGTGAAGGTTTGCTGCTTTTCTGTGTTATATATATATATATATATATAGGTTTTTGTACTGTTGGTTATATAAAATAAGTAATTTGAATATGTTAGCATGGGCTCTGGGAAACTGTAATGAAAATTCGTCACTATTTTCTGACATTGTATTGATGAGATAATCGTGAAGAATAGTAAACAGAGGAAATAATTGACAGATTGAACAATAAAGGAAATAACAGTTAGCTGCAGCCCTAAACTGCATACATACTTCAATTTCCTTTTCCCCCAGGTCACAGATATTATTCAGTTGGTGTAACCACAAGCAAAGATGATGCCAGTAACATTGAGATCCTAACAGCGCCTTATATGACTTGAATGTATAACTTTACTGAGTAACAGCAGCTCAGCATCACTCAGACTCAAAACATATGTGTCCGTTTTCCTTCCCTGCATGGACTCAATTGTGTTATGTTAGAGGTCATTCAGCCTACAGACAGTGCTCTCCTGTGTGAACCTCTGCAACTGCTCCTGAAAAATTCTGCTTATTCACATGTGTTAAACCAAGTTAACAAAAACAGTGGATCTGCTTGTGCTTTAAACAGTACACACTGGTTCAGAAAATAAAGTGAACATACCAATCGTACTCTCTTCAGTCGCTCCTCTAGTTTCTCTTCAGCCTCTCTCTCCCTTAGTACGCCCTCCAGTCTGCTGATCAGCTCTGCAGCAAACCTTTCCGGCTCCACATGTATATCCTTTGGAATCCGGTTTGTGCGCTGGGGGAAGAAATGTCAAACTGTAACCACTGAATTTCAGTCACTGCTGTATTGCTGTCAACACTATGGACTGTTTTACCACCATGACCTCTTACATCCTGTCAATGTGCGTATGAAGGGACTAAAACATAAGCAGGAAACATTACAGTGGACAGTGTCAAGTATTGAACATCTAAAGGGATAATACATTTAAATTTGAATGAACCTGCAACGCGACTTTACCACCGAGTACAACTGAAGCCGATCTTTTCTGACATGTTTTTGTTCCCCCACACAATGCAGTATGTATGCTGTATGCCCATGCCTTCTGTGTGATGTTGAAATAGACACATGAAAAATACATTGCCTTGCAAGCTTGAATGACGTCAATATATCAATTTGATAAGTGTGTCTACAGCAAAAGAACACATTCTAGATATGATAGCAACCACAATGTTTTAATGCATTATGTAAAGTGCTTTGAATTGCCTTTGTGTATGAAATGTGCCATACAAATAAACATGCCTTGCCTCAATAAGGACATAAAGGACATTTATTTCCGCTACTACCTGCAATTATGACAATTCAAGGCAGTTGATAATTCAACTCCTGATTTGGAACCAGTATATATTAAAAACAGTAGGAAAACAAAGTGACAAAAAAAAACAAAGACCCATAAGCCCTGTCAATATTCTCATTGCCACTGAAGTGAAGTCATGATGAATTTGTTGAGGCAGAGAAACGTGAGAATTAATGCTTTGGGGATTTGTGCTCTACTATACAGTCAATTCATGCATCCTAATAGGATGCTACGTGTGGAGTTTTAATTTCACTCTTTACTCCAAGGCCTAATTAGGGCTGGGGTTTTCCTACCAAGAGACAGCCTAAGCTGCAGAGGGAGGCATCAGGCTGTCACAGGGGAGGATTCATGTCTGCTAGGCTTCAGCGCACACAGCTTAGGAAAGCATCAAGCTGCATTTAGACAGCCTTCTCTTTCACCATCAGCTATTCTTATACTCCATCACAGGCCCTGCGACACAGCAGAACTTAAATATGCACATCTCCAATGGTGGAGCGGAGGAAAATAAGGCAGAGACAGACAGTTGAAGAGAGACGTAGAGGCAGAAAGTGAGAGGGAAGAGAAAGAACCCATGAATAACTCACTGGAATATGAGGTAGTGGCACTCGCCCATTTGCTTTGGCACTTTCGTGCATCTCCCGGCGATGCTGTTTGCGGTATCTGTAAGGTGGAACCCCATCTCTGGAATTAACAACAAAGACATTTTCATAAAACTCATGAATAAACAACACAGACAGCTTTGAAGTTGAAAGCTTTCTGCTGCATTTTTTCCTCAAATGAACACCTTGTAAGTCTTGATTAATCAGTACAGCAGGATAGGCATTTTTAGAGGCTTATTGTGTCCCTCCTGCACCACAAGTGGTCTGCCAGATTACAGTTACATGTTAACACATCCATGAGTCTGTAATTCCATGTGGTATTGGTCATGCTGGGTTTCACACTCTCCTGTGCTGGAAGCTCTGGACCAATTAGTTGATAACAGCCCCTAATCCATTCAGCTTCAAACACATTTTTGTCCAGTTGTGCAAGCTTTGAAGTTTCTTTGGCATAATTCCCCAGTGCCATCCCTGCACCTAGAAAACATTATTTTTCAAATCTTCTTTCGCCAGCACATGCCCGGTTTGTACAGTGAACTTGAAATACAAGTCCTGCGTGCAAGTGATCCCATATTATATATATATATATATATATTTGGCCTCATGCTTGAGCCCAAACAAATTACCTGTGAGAGAAAACTTATTCTGCCAAAAAAGGAATGTGACTATAATATGACTTTGGAAACATTTCAAACCTTGTGTCACATTTGCAAAAGAGGTCAGTAAGTTAGTGGTTTAATTTTTGTACACTATCTAACATGTTTTTTAGGATTCCTAATTAGCATTAGAGATCAATTCTAACAGCTATTACTGGTTTGGCTAATGAGCAGATGGGACCTTAGCTGCTCCTCCTATAGCTGAGTTTGAGCACAGTTAAAAAGGGGCCATTCGGAAGCCAATTAAACCCTTCTCTCTCTGTCTTAGAGCAATGCTAACTTATATGACTTCCTTTTAAATAACAACTGTAATACTAATTCTGGGCTGATAAAACTGGGATAGCCTCTATGACCTGGTATAACAACTTTATGCATGAATGAGTGAATGTGTCTATGTGTGTGTGAGAAAATACTTACACACTGCTGTCGGTAAGGGAAATTGTGTCTGCGTCGCTGGACATACTCTGCTGCTCACTATCATTGGCGCTGGTGGCAGGAGCCATAGCATAACCAGTGTTGACATAGTATGGGTTGATGGGTTCCCGGCAGGGTGCATGCCTGGAAAAATTAAGAAATACAGGAAATGCTGAAAAAAAACTGATTCATCAGAATAGACCATGATGAGGTAGCTTATAAAAATGCATTTATAAACAAAGATGACGCAATGCTCTTTGGTGTAATCCTAAATTAAGAACACAGTGTTGTTTTATTAGTTAGTGTAAAAGGAAATCTGTCCAGAAGATGATCAAGATTGTGTGTTTGATATACATCAACGATTGATCGTTATCATATTTTTAAAACTCACAAATATCAATTTCAGCTGCAAAAATTCAGTATTCATCCAGCCATAGAAGCTGGGCCAGCAAACCATTTAAAATGTGCACACAACCTCATTTCCCAGTGTTTAATACTCCATTGCCTTCAATTTGTCAACCTTTCTGATTCTGCCACTTCCTGAAACTCCTCTGCGCAACCAGAGAGTATACTGCCGCATGCTGGCAACACCGGATTTGATTGTATTTCCACAGCCTTTGTGAACAACCAAACCAATCAAATTCAAAACCAGAGTATTAATGCCAGAGTGTAACTGCAGGTCTATGATGCACATTCATCTAGAGTGTTTACAGCTATAGGGGGAAGCTTCATTTGACATCCTTTCCATTTACTTTGACTTTACTGAGCACACTTCTTACAGGGCTTTGTACACATGAATTAAAGATGTTAGGCATCATCATCTCTTTTTATTCAAATTGGAATTCCCTGAAGCATTTATCCCCAGCTTTCTCCCTGTTTGGAATGCAGAAGCACCCAGAGTTCAAAATGAAACCTTTGTGACCAACTGATTTTCATTAGCATCTACATTCAACAACAGTGAATAATTACAGCACCGCGTTTGGAAAGAGTGGGGATAAATAAAGTGCAGTATACAGAAAAGGAGTTTTAAGTTGTGATTATGTGTGGCAACGTTTATGATCATGAGAAACGAGAGGAAATGACAATGGAAAGAAGCAAACATTAATCTAATCCAGTCTGTCATTTAATGAAAGACAGATGAGATGGTTTCTAGTTCTCCAACACTCCTCCAAGTACCCGAGAAAAATGGTTTAGTGCTGGTTTTTGTTCTGAATTCTGTCTCATCTTATTTTCCGTTTTATATCTTATTTTGGATATCACATTCAGAAACATAAAAAAACAATATAGTGTTTACGTTTTTTAACAACATAAAAAAATAATACAACAATAAATGACATAAAAACACAAGGTTTCCCATCATCACCTCACCTGAACACATTTTTTTCTATTCAGGCAGGAAGGCCATACAGTATTACAGTATACTACAGTATAACAACATATGTTGGGATAATATGTATCCGTTAGTTAGTTAGTTGAACTAAATTATCTGTATCCATATCCATATACGAACACTGAGGTGGATGTGGCTTATATCAGGAATTGGTAGTTGTTCGTTTAAGCCAGAAAATGAAATGGGTTGATCAAAAGTTGCTATATTTATTAGAANNTTGAGCTTCAGAGCAATGTTTTTTATCCCAAGAGTAAGAGAACTATTTTGTTTTTTCAAGTACAGATGCTGACACATTTTATTACTAGTACTTTCAATCCTAGTTGTTAGCCACATCTAGCTTATGTGTATTTTATTGAATTAATTAAATGCAATACAAATTATTGTACTGTAATAAAAACTGTAGAAATAGTTAAACATGTTTTATAGCTGCATTTTTGAAAGATACTGGCCATGGTGTTGTCAGTTGCCATCAATGTGTAATCAAAACTATATTATTTCCCTTTCTAAAACAGGACAGACTCCATTACTGATGTGGTTCAACTCCAACGACTGAACACAGAATCTTTATACAATTTATTCATCCATTTTGTTATTCCATGTTTTTCTCAACTTCTACTCCTGCATGCAGATTGTTAGGACCCTGAAAAGATCACTCAAAGGAAACACCTTTCATTAAAATTACAAACGAAGTCTTGCTTTGAAGCACACAAGTTACATGAATGGGAACAAAACTGAGCTGTTCAAATTTCAAAACTCTCACCAAAGATTAATGAATGTATAGGTCATTCTCTTTCAAGTCAGTTGATTTTTTAAAGCTGATCTGAAAGACTATTTAA